AAAAGAACAGCCTGCAAGCACGAGGAAGTCGGAATCAAGAGAAGCAAGTGGTAACGGTGGAAAAAATTCTGGAGTTTCACAAACCTTGTTTCTAAGGAAACTGAATGGCAAACCAAGACATACTGGTGGAACAGAAAATCAACTTCTGCACACGTCCAACACGGCTCCTGGCCAGCCATCAAAAGCTAGTTATAAGAGATACACCTGTCTAACACAGGTAGAAGAAAATATTCTTCTCTTCCCTGCAGCCTGAAGTTTATCTTTGCTTCGTACATCCAACATTCCCAAAGTAGATTTTATAATTAAACTCTGTTTATTGGTGACCCCAACACCGTTTTTCTCCTCCTCTGGAGTTGTGAGGTTATACACTCAACGTTGAAGACAGGGGCCAGGAAAGATGAGAAGCACCAGCTAAATGACATGCACCTGAAACCTTAGAAGCTTTATTGTTTAACTTAGCTTTATTGTTTTCTAAGTCAATGTAACATTACTGCTCTGTTGAAGATGAGAAAATTTTGTTAGGAATAATTGTTGATATCCTGCTGGATCCATCCAGCAGCTTTGAAAATAATAACTGATTAAAAAAATCAACAACAACCAACCCAAACCTGTATATTTGCAAGCAATTAGTAGAGTCTTAATTGGAGCAGTACTCATTAAATTGTTACATCTACTTGAAGTATATTAAGTCATAATATATGTATTACATATGTAAAGAAGTAATACAATTAAGAAGTACTTCCTCAGCCCCAAAAGAGAAAAGCTTTCCATTTGGGAAGCCCAGGTTTAAGAGGAATTCCTGTACTTATGCCTGTTACGTTCAACTCCTCTTCACGTATAAATCCCAAGCCAAACAATTCTGACTGAGCAACTGAGCTGCTTGTTTCTAATCTTTTCCTTACCCTTCAAAGACTATGTACCCAAATCACAAGATCTTTCTTAGGCAGTACTTTTTACTCAATAATCCTTCCTACTGAATGGCAGAAACTGCATGTATTAAAAAAAAAAATCCAACAAAAACCAACCAAAAACATGAATAATAATTAAAAAAAAGCCACCCAAAAAACCCCTCTGACTTATCCCTACCTCGTTCTTCAGGTGTTAATTCTTCTTCCTCCTCCTCCTCCTCGCTGCTTTCCTCTTGCCTCGCTATAACCTTGGGTCCTTTACCCTCAGCTGCAGCAGCCAGCCTAATGAAGATAAAATACAACGTCATGAACCATCAAGTTTTTCACTGCATAAAATGCATGAAATTTCAGAACACTCATACCAACTTGGTTCAGTATTTTTGCTACACTTATTTATATTAACAATCTGCAAAAGATTTTAAGTACCAGTGGGACTATCAACCCAGAAATCTACTTCATTTGACAACAGCCAAAACTTGGCATCAAGATAAAAAGGAAACACCTTTCCAAAAAGCAAACCAACCCATAAAAAAGAACACAGTCCTAACATTTAGTCCATTTTCTATGACAATACTTACTTCTTACTCAACACATCTGCTCTTAAGGGCTCATTTGATTCCGAATCACTCACTGCATCTTCATCATCTTCTCCTACCATGCTTGGAATGCAAACAAAGAGAGCAGCCTTTATCAATTGTTTGTTGTATAAATTCAATTGATGTAACAGTCAAAACATTCCAGTGCTCAATTAAAAGACTCCTGTAATACTTTAAAAGCTTTCCAAATCTATTTAAATATTGATGAGTGACAATTTATATTCTAGTACATAGATGCTAACTATAAAAAACAAACGAGACATCAATTACATGAGTGAAACCTGAGAGATATGTACACCTTCCAGTACTCACAGACCTCCAAAATTTCACTGACGGTCCTTCTTGTAGCTATAAGCCTTTACTTAAAAGCTTCATCAATTCAAGTATGTTGCATATACTCAGTAGGATAGCACAGTCAGTAATATGTCAGGCAGAAAGTCTACTTCACTGCAAAACTAGCCTGTCACCTGCCTCGTGCCAGATGGCCATTCAGAAACCTACCTGTGATAAGGAGTACTCGGCTCATCGATTTTCATCAGGCCATAATCTTTGCCCGCTGGGTGGTACGTGGCTATGATGTTCATTTCGTCCCATTTCTGAGATTTTTTACTGAAACAAGAAAGCAAAGTGGTTTTGTTTTAATCCCCTAAAATCAGCTCATTCTGTTTGGCCATAGAAAAGGAATGCTGAGAGTGATTTTTGCCCTCAATTCTACACTATGGAAAAAAAGCACTGTTAAGGCACGGGGGCAAGTTTGAAGTATAAAGGTGGTTGTTAAGCACCACCTCACGCACACTTCTGTTGGGTCAGGACAAATCACCGCTGTGACTTCCCTTTCCCTAACGAGTCACAGTATCTAAATGAACCAGTGCTCACAGATACGTTCAAGTACCTGTGCACATCTTCAAGAGACCACCAGTGCTGCCCACTCACTGCCCCGTTAACCAGCTGCTCACTGCAAGTCACTGCAACAATCATTCTTCCTGTCATTACAGCCCTCAACACTTGATGCAAAGAAATAACCAACTTCCACTTCAGCACAGCTCGGTGAGCTGCCAGGACTGTCTGCAGAACCGCTGCACAAACAACAGCAACCAACAGATAACTTCCTGCAGTAAAACTAATTGGACTGAACAAGGTGGTTGTTAATACTGCCTTTGTCATCTTAAATTGGAACCATAAAACAGAACTGACTCACTGCTGTAACGAACCAAAGGGAGTTTCGTGCTCTATACAGCCAGCCACCAGCCATGCTGCTTAATTTAGGATTTCCTCAATTAGTCACAGAATGCATCATTTTATGTGTATTTGTAGAAACAAAAGCCTACCCAGACTGACACAACATGGAAGCCACAAGGGAAGCAACTGCCTTGTGGAAAAGTCCCCGCTCTTCTGGTCTAGAAGCCACTGAAAGGTTCCCTGGGCAACCTGATCCAGTGCCTGATTTAGTGACTGGCAACCAGCCTGCTGCAGGTGTTAGATCTTTGAGGTCCCTCCCAACCAAAGCCATTCTGTGAAAGATTTAGTCAACAGGACCTACCAGGTTCCACATTTTTCCTGAAGCATCAACACAGCCTTCCGGAGAGGTGGCCTTCTCTTAGATTAAACCAAGAAATGTAATTCTAGAACAGCATCAAATTCCACTGTAGATTTCTATTCCCTGTAGGGGGCACAGTTGGCTGAAAGAATGTAGCTCATGTACTCTTTACTTAAGTACAGGCTGCTCCAATAACAAATTGCCAGACCTGACATCTGAACTCAGCCTCAGTAATATTACTGCTTTTAAGCAGAATGCCATCCGTAAAACAAAACTGATAATGCAAAATTGCAAAGACAAACAAAGCTTAGCCTTCATGGAGAGCTCTCCATAATACGACGGAAAGAAAAGAAAGGATAAAAGAAATAGAAGTGGAAGAGCTGATGCAGAATCCTATGTGCCACAGACCTGTGAGCTGAATAACTTCAGCATAAACTAACCAATGCCATAAGTTCCCATCTGAAGTTCCCTATCTATTTAATCACCTTGTGCAAACTGCAACACCAGGATTGCAAGCTGAGCAGACAGAACACGAGTCAGAGTGCCTGCTTTGGTGGAGAGTCGTGAGCTCCATGATGACAAAGCAAGAGCTCCAGTGTAGGAATGTCCGCTACTCAAACCTGCCTCGTGAAGGTTCTAAAAACCACTGTCTCAACGCCAGCTGAACAGCTGCTTCAAGCTCCTGTGATTAACATACCACAAGCACATGGTTACAGGGAGCACGTGAGAATTTTTACTAGCCATAGCAGCTGGATGATGGCACAAAGGACAAGCTCAGATAGAGAGGAAATATGACAGATGGAAGACAGTCCCACCCACACCTTAGTGCTCACTGCGCTGCCCACAGGACACCCAGGTGTAACCTGCACCAGTTCACAGCACAGTACCCAATCTGCCTCGTATACCAGTCTGGAAATTGGATGGTCCACAGCTAGCAATTCAGGAACTCGCAAATGCAACATGGAAAGAGAATTTAGTGGCCTGTTTTTCACAGTCGTGTGTTTAAACTTACATTTCAACACAAAAAGCCTTGGCTGTGGAACACACCCCAGAACACAACTTGAAATTCAGCTGGGAAAAAAATGATCATGAACAACAAAGAGACAAGCATGTCATCTCACCCCTTGGTGGAAAACAGCATCGCGGGAGGGTGACTAAGTGCTCTAAAAACACACACCTCCCTTGGCTGCCTCCAATTCAGCGTGCTTATGCACCGCCATGGCAGCCTAGCATTAACAACAAAGCTTACGACTATCACCACAAAACACTTCCTGCATCCCTTCAGAGGACCAGGTTCGTATTTCTATATGTGAAACAGACTCTTCCTTAGTAAAATCAGATTTAAAAGATGAAACATTCCACAAGTATTCGTTCGTATTCTTTCACGCCTTCAAATGTCTAAATCATTCATTCTAATACCACAAGCCAACAGGTCAGAGGCTGCAGCATTACTCAAAGGAATACATCTCCTAACTCCCTCACTCCTGCCAGTTCCAACACAGCTACTTGCAGGACTACCCAGCAAACAGGGCCAAGGAACAGCAAAATACAGCCAGCTACTTTGTACAATGCCATGTCACGTCCTACAGAAACTCTAACAGGAGTGCGAAGGCAAAACATACTTTCTATCTGGTTTGCCAAGAACGTCTCTCCCGTTAAGCCATCATCTCAGCCCTTCAGATGCTGTCCCAGTGATGTCTCAATTTCACCAATTTCTCTCTTGAATCACACCTTCATTAAGGATATTACCATCGCTAGCAATAGCACAAGGCTGATGACGATGAAAGTACGAGAGCTCTTCTGAACACGGTACTTTGAAAGATGACAGCTGACACAATGAGCTCCTTTATCTACAGCTATTTTTAAAGGCGTTCAGATTTGAATTTCAATGCTAGAAAGAAGCAGGGAGGCTGCTGACAGACGTGCACTAAGAAAACAGAGGCGTTAATTTATAAACCCGTTTTTTAGTCTTAAAGGAAAATAACTGCAGTACTGCTTGCCATTCTTTCAGAGTACAAAATGTTGCTACTTCTGACCAAATAAAATCACTTTAATGAAGAGCTGCCATCCAGAAAACAACAGCTGCACACAGCCTAACATTAAATATCCTATTCTGATCTTTTCAGGAAATTTTCTATTGCAATGTGCCAGGTTTAGACAGAGTGCTTTAACTTGCAAGGCAGTTTCAGAATTAACCTAACGATGCATTTATTGACTCTCATCAGAAAACAAGCAACAGAAGATGGAGTCCTGCTCACTTAACTGCAATACCAGCTGTCCCACATACTCAGCTCAGCAGCCTGTATTCTAACTTCTGCTCATCCTACAGGGTGGTGGAAAAAAGACTCCAGAAAAATGAAGCTGAGGCTCCTAACAGCCAGTTTTACTTTATGCCTGCTGTCAGTCAGTTTCTTGTCCTTATATTAAAACTAGGGAACAGAAGGAAAACATTAAAAAGGGACAACTTGTGTGTAGCACATTCTTACTTACATCTGATTCCACTCCCAAAGCCATCATGCCACGGCTTCCATTGCAATACTTTCTCCCTGGAAAGCAGGAGCCCTTAGCAGGCAAGAGAGCAAACCAAAGGTTTTCTGTCCTACCTCGCAGACTCGGACTGTATTAATGACTGCCCAGCCAAAGGGGAAAAGGAATTACTATGCTATAAAGAAGACTACGTGCCCATTTTATTTTATTTCATTATTATTCCTCACCTCTCCTCGCAATACCGGGGTCTCAGATTAGAAAACTGTCTAAAGCCACGTTATAAATACAGCAGCCTGGGAGCGTGCCGGCGCTCAGAATAACGTTGCAGCGTTACGGCATCTCCAGGCTGTCCTGCTGAGCGCCAGGGCCTCTCCTGCGCTTCAGCCCTCATTGCCCTCATTGCCCTCAACGCCCCGCGCCCCGCGCAGCGCCCCGCTCCGACCCGCCTCACGACACAGCGCGCTCAGCCCCGCGCCGCCACCCCGCCGGCTTGGGCGCGGCCCTCACCCGTGCTCGTCGTCGTCGCGGGCCGGGCTGGCCTGCCGGGCCCCAGGCCCCGCGCCTCCCGCGGACTGCTTGCCGCCGCCCTTCTTCAGGATGCCTTTGATGGGCGCCCGGCCCGACGCTCCCGCCGCCGAAGCGGCCGGCACCGAGGGCGCCTCCATGGCCGCGCCGCTTGCCGACTTCCGGCCCCCGCCTCGGCCCGCCCCGAGCCGCATCGCGTCAGATCCGCCGGCGCCGGACAGGTAGCGCTGCGCCTTCGCTGCCGCGCCCCCTGGTGGTTGGAGGACCGCCGCTGTCCTGCCTGCAGTGCTGCTGCGCGACCGCGGTGGGGCGCCGTGCGCCGACGGCGAGTTCTTGCGCGTGCACGGGGCTCCGGCACGCGCGTGGGGCCTCGCGCGCGTGCCCTGTCGTGGATGGCGATCGGTGTCACGTGGGGCACGGCCCGCACGGCCCGCGTGCGGTTTGTCGCAGGAACGGCTCACTGTCATCCCGTTTCTGTCCCGTTCCTTTTCCCCTCCATCTCAGAGCTGGGCAGGGCGACGCCACGCCAGGCTGGGTGAATGCTGCCTTAGAACTGACTGAACCCCTGGGGAGAAACGAAGTGATCTGCCCCCAGATGTCACCCAGTGGGAAGCGGCCATGCGGCTGTCTGCATCCCCACGTGTCCCCGTGTTACCCCGAGGCTGCAGGGAGAGCCTGGCCTGCACCATGGGATTGTGGTGGAAGCACTGAGAGCCGTGAAGGGGAGATGGCATGAGCACGGCACCTGCATGCAACCCTACACGGCTGTGGAGTGCAGCCCAGGGCCCCCAGGGCCAGGGGCGAAGGTGGGAGGCAAGGGCTGGCCGAGCCCCTCACAGTCCAGGGGCTGCAGGAAGGCTGCAGTGGGCTGGGAAGCGCCGCAGGGAGGCACACAGGGCCGGGAGCAGATGCTTGGTTTTGTTTTTAATGAGTTGCTTCGGTGCTATGGGAACAGAGCTGCAGCGGGAGTGAGGTGCTGAGCAGGCAGCTGTGGAAGCAGGACAAGGCACATTGTAGGCAGGAGCTATGTACTATGAGCTGTGTGTGAGAACACAAGGTGCTGGCCCTGGGGCTCTGTAAGGCCTCGCTGGGGGGAGCTGGGGGCACATGCAGACCGTGGGAAGGAGGTGTGGTAAGGTTCTGGGCATTTGGAGACTTCCCAAGCTTTAAATACAAAAGACCAAATCTGAATTTTAGGGTGGAGATCAGATGTGGCAGCAACCTGCGGAGAAAGCACACTCAAAATGCCTGGCCCCAGCTGTAGCACTGTCCCCTGTGTTCCCAGCAGGCCTAGAAGCATCAGAACCAAAACTGGGTTCATGATCAGTCTCCCCTGCATCTCACAGCTTTTTGCACCCACGTGCTGTGGGACCCGTGGCAGCAGCAGAGCCCCATGCCTGCACATCAGTTGCTGGTTGTCTTCCCCCATCAGCTTGCAGTCAGCCACACTGCAGAAGTCAGGTGGGGTGAGATGGACTGGGAGGAACAGCGACAGCGGGAGTGACACACAGAGTGCGGGGCTGGCAGACTACTGGGAGCGAAGGGATCATTGCTTTGCTCTCTTACACAGAAACACTACTGGCTAATAAGGGAAGCGACCCAGTTCAGAGCTGGCCTGCTGTGCATGGCAGCAGTTACATCTCGGCGGGGCAGCTGAGCTGATCCGTGGGCATCATCTTGTCGGTGTCGATCTTGTAGGACTGGAGCATGCTCTTCAGGTGCTCTACAGTGTCTGGGTGCATGTCGGGAGTTCGGGACATAATCCAGGCGTAGTCAAAGTGGAAAAGCCAGAGGATGTTGGTGCAGGAGTACACCAGCGAGTAGTTCTCGTAGTCAGTGGAGATGACCCAGTATGGTGCAGAAGGCATAACTGGGGAGAGAGGCTCGGTTACACTGGGGGCAGCCACTCCTGCATAGTGGGTGGCCACAGCTCAGACTTAGAGCTGCCCCCGCTTTTGCTGCTGTCGAGCTGTGAAACTGCAGATCTTGTTGACAAAACCCCATCAGGATTCCTTGCTCTGCCCAGAGGGACCCAAAAATGCCCTGCATGGGAAGCTGTAGCAGGGGAATTAACACCATGACCCAACTTGCTTGCTCAGTCGTCTGGCAGTATGCTATCCATACTCATGTGCCTCAGGCCCCTGCCTGCTCTGAGCCCCATGCCCTCACCCCACTGTGCTGCCAGGCCCCAGGGCAGGCCTGGCCCTTACTCTGTGGCTCTGCCCCTCTGCTGCGAGGGAGCTCAGCCCGCTCACATCAGCAGTACTTACACCAGTTGAAGCGGACGCCCAGCTTGGCCGGCTCCTTCACATCTGTGTGCATGATTTCTCCTTCAATTTCATTTATTTTGCCACTGGAACTAAGGGCAGGAGAACACGGAAGAAATCGTATCAGCCATGCTTGAAATCACATTTCAATTTCCTGACTTGGTGGGCAGGACGTTACCCCTCCAGATACCCTTGCCTACCAACAGGGGCAGACCCCTCCTACTGCCTGTGGGAGCTGCTGGCCTGCAGGGATGGGGGCCGGCAGCACCCAGGATACACCAAAGATGCAGACCTCCCTGCGCAGGACAGGCAGAGCCCAGCACCTTATGCGATGTGCCAGGGCTTGCCAAACCCTGCTGCTTGTTGTGTGTTCACCTCTGTTTAATCACCTGTGTTTTTTCCAGGTCAGCACACTCTTCCGCACACCAGTGGCCCGCCCCTGCTCGGTGAGCTGGGGTTTGTTCCACTGCAGGTGCTGAGCACGGCCCTGCTGGCAGCAGGCTCTGCCACTTGGACACCCATCTGATAATTGCCTTTATCCGCCACATGCCTCAACACCTCCACGCTGCCCGTGGGGCAGGAAAGTTTCACTTTCCTGTGGGGCAGGAACGTTCAGGACAGCAGCGCACGGCCCCATTGGCACGCCGCCTGCATCCCACAGACAGCACACAGCTGTTTGCCAGAGTGGGAGCTGCAGGGACAATGCGGTGCAGCCAGAGAGCATCATGGGCACAGCTCCCTGCCGGCCACAAGGTGCCTGGTGCCACGCTGTTGTTCTTGTGAGGCAGAACAAAGTCCCCATGCCATGCCAGGGACCGAGGGGACGGCGCATCCCCCCTGCTTGCTCACGCGCTCCTCCTGCCACTGTCACTCCATGGCACCAGGGCTAGCACAGAGCCTGATACATCAACATCTGTGTTTGTTCCTCCCCCAGCAGCCAGAAACAGGGGATGTGGAGAAAAATCACCCCCTAGGATAGGAAGAGGGGTGGTGGAAGCCTCACCAATACAGGCATGGCCTGCACACCGGCACTTACAGCATCTCCTTGTTGATCACTTTAAACTTCCCGTTCTCCTTCAGAGAGTAGTTTGCCTGGACACAGCTTCCTTTCTCGAAATTTGAGGGCAGCTTTTCTATCTCGTACCATTTTCCCAAATACTGAGAAAAGAAAGTCAAGAGAGAAGCTTGGAGCACAAGGACTGGAGGTGGAACGGCTGAGCCCACTGGGTTTATGTGAGCCACAGGCACTGCAGCAGGGTGGCTCCTCCTGCACAGGGCTGGGTTGGACCAGGAGCAGGGCACCGGTATCACCGCTGCCATTGGGCATCCAAGTCACCACCGACCCATATCTGAGCACTGTGCCACTGCTCCTGTGCCACCCAAACCCCCTCACTGCCTGCTGTGAGGCTTTAGAATAACTTCACACCTTGTTGATATCGAAGTCCTGCTGCACTGGTGGGTCTGGGCATGGTCCCATGTGGAACATCTGTGCGTACCCCAAGCCGAGGAGACCGAGCAGGACTGAGAGCTGCACTGCCGTGCTCAGCATGGCTGTGCTGGTGGGAAACAGACCTGGGAAGGAGGAAAAAAGCTGCATTTGGTCCTGAGAGGTGACAGGAAGGACAGTGCAGCTTCAGATGCTGGGGTGCTCACAACTTCATCAACACCAAATGAAGTGTGATCTGACCCCTGCGAGGTGTGCTGTGAGGAGGCAGAGGGCACGTTTCCTGCAGCACAGCCCCCAGCCCCATGCCACAGGCACGATGCAGCATCCTTCATGATGTGCTGACCAGTGCAGAGCCGGGTGAGACCTGTGCCCCCCACCCCACATAGACCCAGCTCCACAACCCTGCCCACACGGTCCGGGCATGGACCGTGGCATCTGCGTCCAGAAAGGAGCAGCAGCTGCATTTCCCCAAGTTTTGAAGATGAGCCCAGCCTGCCTCCAGCTGCAGGGCATGGCCTCTCTGTGGACAAACACAGCATCTCCTAGCTCGTACACGTACCTTGGCTGATGAGACACAGCAATGCTCCGCGAAGGACCAGGTCCGTACAGAACAGCTCTGCAGGGAGATCTCCACCCCTCTTTTTATAAGCGAGCCAGGATTCTCATTATTCAGCACCAGCACAAGCCACTCCCTGGCCTTGGACATGTTTTACTTTGCGGAGGGCCGGTCGGCTGCCTTGGATCCGTGGTTGGTATGGGGCCAGGGATGGGCCGTGCCTTGGCTGCTCACCCATGCAAACAGCACCCCTCGTCTCTGCGCTCTGCTCCCTGCTGCTGGGCAGCCCCGGCTGGCCGCTCACACAGCCCTGTGGCTGCACACAGCGGGAGGGAGAACCCGCAGCCCTGCCCTGTTGCACTGGCCCATCACTGTGCTCCTGGGTGAGATGTGACCGTCCCGTCTCGCACAGAGCCTGTCGCCTGCCCCATGTCCCACGGACCCTTGGTGTGCTCAAGGGCACGGAATGGGGTCTGTACTGCAGCGTGGTGCCGCCCCACGGCCGACCCACAGAGGGGCCTCCTGCTGGGGGGAGCACTGGCTGCTCACAGCCACCTCTGTGCAGGGTCTGCCCGGTGACACAAGCTGGCAGTGTGTGCAGTGCTTGTGCAAGGCAGCTCCCAGTCATCCTGGTCAGACCCAGCGCACGGGGAGGATGAAGTGCAGGAAGCACTGCAGGAATGCTGAGGAGCCGCAGGGTCTTTTGGCAGTTTGTTTTCCAGACTTGTCTCATCCCGAATGAAAGGTGTCAATGTAATTAGCGGTGTGCTGAGCTGACAGCCCTTCCAACAGGTGCCCGGCAAATGGCTCTGACAGCAGCGCAGTCATCTGTGCATCCGCCGGGCCCATGCGTTATGCAAGGAGCTGGGT